ATCAGCACAAAGACTGACTAATAATTTAGATAATTAGAAAAAGATAATTGAAGGAAGAAGAAATCCTTACCTTCAAATGCTCACTGCACTGAAAGAAATTCCAAAAAAAATGATCTTGACAGAGGTAATAAATCAACTATCCGAAAAAAAAATCAAATCACCAAAATTTTAGAATGATACCAAAGTTTGATCAATATCATAAAAACAATATAAGAATTGATTCCAGATTTCAAATACCTCAACAGAAGTATGTTCTTAAGCAGAATAAAACAAATATGCATCCATTCTAACATTTCAACATTAAGAGACTAAAACCTCAATCCCATATGAAAAAGTATCTTTAAGATTTCCAAAAAAATGTAAATCTCATAAAAATATTTATCAATTGTTCTTTAACTTTTCCGGCCCCTCAAAAAGCATTCCACATTAGTCATTAAAATAATGACGAAAAAAAAAACTGAACTCAAGAACTATATGTAGTATACAATGTAAGTCCTCAAATTCATCAATAAGAAAATCCCACTCTCATTCATCAAGAACATATGATAATATCGAGTTTTTTTTTTAATTTCAACCGCAATCAGGAAAATAAGTGACCGCATATGCTATCTACAAGATCATTTCCTTCCCATTCTCAAATTCATCAATAAGAAAATCCAACTCTCATTCATCAAGAACATATGATAGTATCGAGTCTTTTTAATTTCAATCGCAATCAGGAAAATAAGTTACCACATATGTTATCTACAAGATCATTTCCTTCCCATGAAAATAAACAAATCGAAATGAATGATCCAATAATTCAAAAGAAGATATCACAAAGAACCGCAAATCCCTCGACTTACAATAAAGAGTTTCATATTTAATTCTCAATAATCCAAACAAAGATGTGAAAGAATTTTAGCACAGAGGTGAATATTTCATTAAACAACTGAAGAGGAGAGGAAAGGAAGAAGACCTTACTTCCAGAGCGCGTAAACAAACTTCAGGAGCAAACAAAATATCCAAATCGCACAAACGAATTGCCAACCTCTAAAATCTTCCCCAAATGAGGTATTGAAGGTGAGGGGAACACCCAAAAGGGAAATAAAAATGCCCAAGAATCAAGAATAGGGAAGTTACCGGACTCGTTTAGGCGGAAAAATTGGTCACGAGAAGTGACCGAAAGTTACAACCGATGGCGAAGGTCGGTTAAGACTCGAGAGATGGAAGATAACCAGAAAACCGAGGAGAAGATTCAAGAACAGGGGTTTTCGTCGAAGAGAAGGCTAGGGCTTGGTAGAGAGGAACATGAGCATGACTTAGGGCAAAGAGGAGTAACGTGTGCGTGAGTTGTTTTATTTTATTACGAAATTCTTTTTTTAAAATCTAGTTTTGTTATTTTACTCAAATTCGTCAATTTACACAATTCAACCCAATTTTGAACCCTATTAATGTACATGTCATTCCAGACTAAAACTGACATTCCGGAAGCACCAGTGCGATCCATTTTTCCATCCGGGGTGATCTGGATAAGGGTTGTTATATCTAAATATTTAGAGGTTGTATGTAAACACTCTTTATCGATATGCTAGCTCTCTATTATTATTATAATCAATATTGTCTTTATGTTTCATTTACTTCTTTGATTGTTGGTTGAGGTAAATTTAATTATATTGAAAAGGGTTGTTATATGGCTTGTCTTTATATTTGCTGGTAGAAAAAGTTTGAAAGTTATTCTGATATTGAGTTGATATTTTGAATATTTTATTTTATTTATGCTTATAATCATCTTTTGATTAATTATTTGCAAACATGTTTTGGATTGGGTTAGAAATATGATGATTAGAAAAAAGAGGTGATCCGACCAATTAAGAGTTGTAGTCAGGTTATTTGAAGTTCTATGTCCTTATTCTTTATATGAATGGATTGGATTAACATTTGAATTTCTTTTTTTTGTTGTTTTGGTATAGAGGTTGGACCGTTTATCTAAAAAATAGTTTGGGGCTTAAACTGATATTCAAAGGTATCCCAGTTAGTCTACTAGCTGTCGTATGGAATTATTATTTGAGGATTTACGTACACACCACACAATTTTTATGTGTTTTCATATGTAACCTGCATTGGTATACCTTTTTTTTTTATGCCGTGAGAGATTTGGATGCTATAAATGTGAAATTTGGGTGTTAGGAGTGTAAATTTGTGTATAATTGGATGGTATGAATATAAGGGCATGTTCTTAATAAATTAATTTTGGTGGAAATGTGAAAATTTTTTAGACTTATATACTCATGATTTGAAATTCTTTTATGATTCTATAAAATGCAATACGCTTATTTATCCAAAAATCTGAGACTTCTATATGTATCTATGCAATAAAATCTGAAGCTTTTTACCTATTCAAAGTCTGAAACTTACATGAGTTAGCTTTAGGTTAACCTGAAATTCATAAAGGTTGGTTTTATGCAAATCTGAAATTCAGGCAGGTTGGTTTTATGTAAATATGAAATTTATATGGATTGAACTCTTTGGTTGGTCGATTTAATTATTATCCTTGTAAGCTTGCTGAAGTTAGTTTTCGGTTACATACAAATGCAATAATGGAGATTCTCAAAGTATGTTGATTTATTTATTGTCTTAGAAGTTTACCTAAGGTTGGTCCTGGTTACCTGCGGCCTGGAACCTTTATAGTTTGATAAATTGATTCTTATTGCGTAACACATATGGGTAAGGTGGAATAATGATGTTACAAGAATTATTTGAAAAGTTATTTCTTCCGATATTATGATGTGAAATATACAAAATTATTGGAAATGCAGATGGAATATCGAAGTGGCCTATAAGTTTGAGATGCAGGGTGGGCAATGATGCAAAATTCACTCTCAGTTCTCTTTATAGCTGAAATTTTTTAATCAATGATCAATCCTTTGAGTCGCTGATAGCTCTAACCCTTGCTTAAGAGATTTGTGAACTGACAATAGATACTACATGTCATATACTACATGCAAATACACTACACCTTTAGTTTAAAGTTCAGATACTACTTACAGATTTACTCATCAATTAAGTGATAGGGATTAGGATTGCACGATTCTAAGATGATTTGCTGGTGAATTTTGATTGACATTGATATATATACTTCAATACGTTAGTTGCCTGTGGGATTGTGATAAATAAAAAGTATAGTCTGAGTCCATTCTCAATTTAAATATACCCCATTTGGATTTTTCATATGCTCATCACTTAACTTTTATGAAAACATATATGCTCAAATCTTGCATATGTAAATTGCAAATATTTGTCTAACCCCCTTTTTTTATATATGCATTTGTATTATGCAATTATAATAATTTGTTTTGAAGCAATTGACAGAATTAGTCAGGTACATCTTGTTCTTTTCTTTATCTACTGTATTTTACTGCACAATTCTTTTCTTTTTTTACTATACTTTACTACACAGTTCTTTTCTTTTGTTGATGTATTTCACTACACAATCCCTTTATTTTCTTTACTGTACTTTATTACACGGTTCTTTTTTTTCTTTACTGTACTTTACGACACGGTTCTTTTTTTTCTTTACTGCAATGTACTGTATACATCTACCTGTACTCTTGCTTTTAGTTTCTACTTTTATGACATGTTTATACAGTACCCTAGGGTAGCAAATGTAGAACGCATGCTTAGGATTGGACCCTATAGCACATAACCAAAACACTCGTTTTAATTTCAATACTATTCAAAATTTCATAATACATATTAATATAACTATAAAATAATGTTTTAAATTTCATTTAACCCACACTAATAATATGAATTTGTAATAAGCTGCTCGAGCTATGTTCTCTCTTCTCTCTCCTTTTCTCGGAACGAGACGACGACGCGGTCAAGTGACGATTTATCTCCGGGCGGCGGTTGAGATGACAACAGAAAGTGGAAGGAGGAGCTTCAACTGAATATTGAACTTCCGTAGATTTAAATAATATACACCCATAGGACTTCGATGTTGTTCGTCTAGTACCCATAGTTACTGTGGATTGATGAACTTGCAGCAAGCACTTACAAAATAATTAAATTATACCACATAAAATTTGTTATAATTAAATCAAAGAGTGAGCTACACAAATTATAATTAACATCATCTTCTATTGCATTGACTCTTATATTCTCCTTCTTCGTCATCTCGAACATTGATGAACCTAGGAAGCTACATGAGGAAGCTATTTTTTTGTGATAGATTGGTTAATGTTACTGTTTTAATTTCAAGCAATCCAATTTTGAGGTCAAGAGAGCTCTTCAAAACTCCAATTATGATCATCAGAGCTCCGACAGGTTGCAGAAGAAGAACCCTACCCGTAGAATTGGACAAAAAGCTAAGAATGAGGGTATTTTGGCCATAAATTTAATGTGATTCAAATTTAAGTTGTAAATTGTTATATAACCTACATTAATGAAAAAGGGAACTTGTGAATACTTGAAATCAACCCGGGAGACCACTGTCAAATCTCAGAAGGCATTAGGATCTTAGCGGAGGATTTTCAAAAGCGTGTATCAACATGAAATGCTGTAAAAAACTCAAAAGACCTACTGATATCTTGCCTATTTTTTATAATAAAAGTGAAATCATGAGAAACATTTAAATAATTTTGGAAAAGAAGCAGTAATATATTTCAAAATACATAAATTTACTTTCATTAAATAGAGTGGCAATTTTAACACACTACAACATGCCAAAAATGGCATAATTTAATCATAAACTTGAAAGTTGATTGATTTATCGATAAAATCCTTTTCCATTTGGATTTTCACCCTAATTTTCTGTCATCAGAAGCTGTAACTCTAGATTTATTTTCATGTGAATTAATCTTTTTCATTTGCAATTCATTCATGTTTGTATTTTCATCTTTTGTCAGATTTGAATTTTTTTTAAATATTTGTTAAGTTTTTCTTTTTCTGCTGATGGATGGTTTTTAACCATTTCTTCTTGATTTTGTGTTGCATTATCCTGACTTGTTACTGTGCAGGTTCTATACATCCTGATTAGGTTGATTATCTTTCATTCAAGCTTTTCTTGGAAACATTGGGTTGGACTCGTAGTGACATCTTTAGCATATTGGATTTCGTATCAACAACTTGCTAATATGGCGAAGCCTACATATTCAGATGATGGAGAACTGCTCGACGGTGGGTTTGATATGAGCACCGGTGGAATTTGTAGGTGAGTCTCATGTTCTTGTAATGTCTCTTCATTTTCTACCAAATTGATGTTATCTGTGTATTAAGAATTTAAGATTGTCGGCCAAAAGAATTTCATGTCTAACATTTTTAATATTAAAGTAATCTTCTTTTAATTGATCTTAAATTGTGGGGATAGTGCTAATGATGATGATGGTTATTTTATTAAAATGATAAATGTTGCATGATTGGCATGGTGCTGACTTTGGTAACTGTGTTACTGCTGTTTCCTTTATTTGTATTTGCTATTTGAAGCTTGCACTCTTCATGCCTATAAAGCTTGGAGATGGACACAACTATATGGGCGCGACACAACATGGATATAGTAACTCAATGCACATCATGAACACAATGTTCTATTTTATAGATTATTACTGTAAAATGTAGGAGAAAAAATTGATACTAGTGGTCTTCTATTAAGAGAATTACATAATGAACTGTAATATCATATATATATGAAGCTTAATGATAATAAAAAACAAAGTGTACTAATAATAAAAGAGTTGTTTTATCACATGTAACAAATACCATCTGCAAAGATTGCACAAACATTAATATTAATTGATTGTTGAATTGTTAATATTCATTAATTATTGTCAGTTGTCACGTGTTTTGCCAATATCGATATTGTTTATAAATTATTAAAAAAACAAAATAGTTAAATAAATTGGATTATATGAACATTATGCATATTTAATATTGAAACTAGCACACTAGATTTTATAGCTTCTTCCACGGCACATTCATTCACCTTTACAGGAAATATTTTTGTCAAAGCTTGCCATTCATGATGTTGTCTTTTATTGAATATATTTTAGTTAATATATATTTTAAGCATTCTAATATCATATATTTTAGCTAATATATCTCCTAATGCCCCATAATGTTGTCTTTTATTGAATATATTTTACATTCTTTTTTGATAAAATGCATATATTGATATGCACAAATGTCAAATCTTTACCCCCTTGAGCGATATTTATTTCTATTAAGTGAAGTGATAAAAAAAATATTTGCTCTATTTTCTTTCGCGACAACAATAGGAACATGGTTGCATATAAATCATTAATCAATTTTTTTTTTATCCATAGGGCCTTTAGAAGTTATAGAGTCACGATCGATAAAAAACTACTAAACATAATAATTTGTCAAACTCCAAATTAATAATTATCTTCTCTTCAATATTTGAAAAAAACACTCTTTAAATGTTTGTTCCTCTCATTTGATATCTCTATACCTATATGTGGAGCAACGTGATTTACAGCTTTGCTTAGTCAAGCATGACTATAATACCTAATAGAATAATACTTCTGATAAGTAATATTAATAATTGTAAAGTGGGTTAAGCTATGCTTAATTAAAAATTTAAATGTTACCTTAGATTAAAGTAATGAACCAAGCAATGACTGTGATTGTTACTTTTGTTCCATTTATGTAAAAAAATGCCATACATCACTTTATAAGAGTTGGGCTAATCATTTGTTTTTCTTTTATGTTGATATATTATCTCTTTAACATTTTTTATCATGGGATCTAACATATTATACATAAGGCGTGGGTAAGGTTTTCTGTACCAATTACTCTTAGCAGCTCATATATTGGTTTCATAAAGATGCATTATAATTTATTTGGTCTAACAACAAATCTTCGAATATCTTTTCCTTTATAAACTAAGCCTTATCCACATCGTCATCTCAATAAATTGCCCACATGTTTATTGTTATGGCTTGTAATTCTTTCTATATGGTTTTAGAACACATAAGCCTAATGCTTGTTGATACAAAATGTGTCTCAATTAAAGCCAAATTTGTTAGCTTTACAAATTCATTAAAAATTTAAAGCCCTGTCAAATATATTATTGTGAAGTTTTTCATGAAATACTTCATTTCCTGCGATGCCTGTGATCTATTACATTCTTTGTAGCCTAATAGGTTATCTCATCACTGTCTATATATATTCTTTTGAGCATAAATATTCTTTCATGCAAGATTCATGTGTAAACAATACAAGAAGTCCAAAAAATATTAGGTTGTTTCTATTTATCAGCACATAAATGCATTGTCTGTTATTACTCGAACCATTTCATCGAAACCAACCTTTTATAATCACTTCTTTGACATGATTTGTAATGCAATTTTGTTTATATATGCTAATTCACAATTAATGGTCTTTTTAAACATACAATTTGACTAATCATAATAAAATTAATGTGAGGTCTTTTTGGTGCATCAGTCTAATCATCTCAAACAGTGGTTCATTTTTTTATTAAGCTCTTTAGTTGGCTTAAAAATTCTTTTAATATTCATTTTCTCCTTTCGAGATAGTTTTTTCCTCAAAAGATTATAACCCAAGGGGCATGTATATGATGAGGGGGTTTTTGGTTGCATATGATAAAACACAAATAATATAAGATTTCTTGCTAAATGGAATAGAATGTCAGCTAAATAGAACTAATGAGCAATTTCATTGTGTTTTCTTTTAATAATTAGCTTTCATTTAAAGCTCTTCCTTGAATCATAACCTTTCATCCTAAATAAATTTTACTTTTTATGAGTTAAAATATTGATTCTCTTGATTGGACCCACTTTGTCTAGAAAAAAGGAGAATCTTTTTTTTTTCATTCAAAATCTGCATCTATTTCTCGTTATTATTAAAGTTGCTTGAATGTATTTTTGGGCATGATCGAAGACGCCCTGCAACTTGGTCTTAGTCAATTCTCATTCTAGGACATGCTAACTTTCTTTGACAAAACAAACATTGAAATTCTATATGGCGGGACAGGGGTAGAACAACAAAAGGAAGGTTTTGGACAACGAAATCAACGAAGCAGGTGGCTGAGATAGCAAGGGGCAGAGAAGGGGAAGAGCGATGAACTGTTGGACAGTAGAGGGGAGGGCTGTTCGGGACTACAACAACGATGGGGGGTGGTTGGAAAGGTTGCGAAGGAGTTTAATAAGGATAAATATCTCTGCGGGATTGAAGTACAACCAGGGCACCACTCGATCTTTGGGGAATGATCACCATCTTGGACGAGTTATAGCCGGAGCACCTTTTTTGTCTTTGGATACAACCCTCGGATGGGAAAATGTCTTTAGAGACCACAATCTGAAATAAAAAATAATCAAAATCTAAATTCTAAACAAGCACACGACACATATATGTAATAGAAGCTATTAGATAGGAATAAAAGGTATTAGGAAAAGAAAGTAAATAAAAAGGAAAGGTAATATTATAGGAAAATGCTAGGATAGGAAAGGTAGATGGGCATCGAAAGTGATAGAAAGGGCAGGGAATCAAATAGGAAAAAAAAGGTCCCACGGTACTGTATATATATATTGTGGAGCACAAATAATGTATATATATATTGTGGAGCACAAATAAAAAATTTAGACGTTATGGGGTAACCAAAGGGTTTCTAACTATTGTGGGTTTTTATCAAATGATTAACTCTAAGTGCATGTCTTTTTATATTAATCACGGTTATGTTTATAAAAGAGATTAAAAAATAGATGGTTTTGTAAATGTTTTTTTTTTTTTTTTGCATATGGCAATTTTTCTTAGTGGTGTAACTATTGAATAAGTTAATTCAAAAAATGAAAACATTATTTAGAAGATAAAAGATTTAGATTAGTACAACAACGATCAGTCTAAGATATGCTAATTTAATGAGTATGATTTTAATAATTAAAATTAATTTTTTAGATTACCAAATAATAATTAAATGTGAGAAATTAATCTTGGATTTATTATATAGAAGAATGGGGATATATGAGAATATAATTTATGCATGGTTTTCTAAATGATTTGTTAAAAATAAGTTTGACACCTTATACAATGTAATTTGAGTGAATGAAATTTGATGATTGACAAAAAATAGTTGGGTTAAGGCTAATGATGATATTGGAGATCGTTCATATAGTAAGATAATCGTTTAATCTTTTAGCTACAAGCACAATCGATTGGCAATTTATGGGACCCCCTATTTATTGTCATTAAATCTAATACTATCTTGTACTAGTTTTGCTAGTTAATTTATATCCAAAATACTACTAAATACTGGAATTTCTTTTTTTTTTCTCCATCGTGCTAATGTATTTATTTTCTAATGATGCCTACTTATTGTTATGTCTTGTTGCAGCTATTTGCATGACGTGATTTACATAACCAGCTTCGTACAGTCAACATCCATTATATCTGACAAATTTTGGCTCGTATATTTAGTGGTAAGATTTACACCTTAGCTTATGCTGCATTTGCATTCATCTGTGGAATGATAATATTGTTCATTCATATATATATATATATATATATATATATGTATTTGAAAATTGAATAGAGGTTTATTTTTAAGTTTTTAAACTGGCCAATATGAATGTAGGTTCACAAAATGCATACAAATTAATGCTCGCTATCTCAGGATTTTAGATTTTCTAATGCGCCTAATATAATATAGTGCACAAAAAATTACATTCCTAATATCCATTTATTTTTTATAAAATCAGAAAACACACACAGTTTACATTAAATTATAATTTATTGTTCACCTAAATGCAATTTCATATAAAACTTATAATCACTGAAAACTACAAGTTGAGTGAACTCTAACTGCAATCCGAAAATTCTGATTGTTCTTTTTTTGATTATATCAATCATGCTGCAAACCAATCATAAATATTTAGGAGAAATTCATATTCATACCACACAATTTTTATTTATTTACGTGTCTAACACCTAAAATTTGATTTTTACATTTATGAAAATTATACATGAAAAAAAATGATGTTCAAATTTTTGATGTGATGTTAAAGATTTGAGTGCTATGCATGTAAATGTGAATGTTTGTGAATGTTTAGGTGTTAGATAGTGTTAGATATGTAAATACGTAAGAATTTTATGGTACATATATAAATATCCCAATGTGTAGATGTAAAGTAATAAGGAAACAATTCACTAAATAAGAGATGCATGCTTTCTATTACTACAAGGAAATAATTTCTCTTAAAAATCGTTATTCGCCACTTGCACCACTCCTGAAAGATTCAAGTTGATTAGCATAAATGTTTGAGAGAAAAATAGAAATTTCATCAAGTAATAGTCCTTTACATTCCTCTCATATCATGTACTTACATTATTAGATTCAAAAAGTTGATTGTCCCATGAATTTTTTTTTTTGGAAGACCAAAATCTCAAGCAACTGCAACTATTCTGCCTAGCTTTATGAAAAATGTTGAGCTTTTTATTTTCTATATTACCAGATTTTTAAAATCACAAAAATCTAGTAATTGGAAAACCAAATCATGCTTGTTGAATTGTACCTCGCAATTGAATAGGCTGAATCAAGGTCCAACAACAGCTCAAGTAATAAGAACATAAGGACACACAATGAACCATGCTAATGACATAGATTTTATAAGGGGTCTAGTCATGCTTGTTGCACAAATTGTAAATAGATCTTTGAAGTGTTAATTATAAGCATGTCATTTCATTTTATAGGGTATAAGCATGTGAACTTTTGAAAAAGTAGAAAAGAAAAGCGGGAGAGCAACAAATTCTGATCCCCGTACATGCAACTTCTGTCACTGAAAAAATCCCATACGCGTATCCCCCCCTCTAATTTTCTTCCCAAACTCACGACTCCCGCAAGTTCTTGTCAATTCTCTCCACGCGACGCTTGACAGACCTCCTCTCTTTCCCTCTCCCCCTAGCTTGTTCGAACAAAACACACGACCGCAAAACCCTCCAGTATGCCGTACAACCCCATCCCCTCTCCTCTCTATCGCTGACAACCTAGTCGCCAACCTTACACTCTTCTATAGAGACCCAAGTGACAACCAACCCTTGCCACTACTCTCCTCCTCTCCAAACTCCCACTCGCACACAGCAACTGGTGCTGATCCTTCCTTCTGCTGCTACCCAAGAGATCCCTCTGCTCCCAACTTCTCTACCATATATTTTATGTTCTCCCTTTCTCCACACTTCCTCACCTCCTCTCCACCGTTCCCTGTCAACCCACACCAACTCCCCATTTGTACCTCTCCGCCTAACAAGAATCCGGGAGGGCATGCACGTATGAGATTTTTTCTGTGAGAGAAGTTGCATGTGCCGGGATCAGGTAGTCGGACCCTTAGATTAGGTTTTCTTTTTTTTTATTTTAAATTCATTTTTTATTATTTCTTAGGTTTGATGGGGGGCACCTATTGGATCAAAAGAAGTTGGAAGTATGGGCAGCACACGGGAGATTAAATATTTGGCGGCGGCTTGTTCTGCAAGCAATTAGGGTGAATATGGGTATACTTCCTAAGCAAAGTCGGCATTTCGGATGCGCTCGCCAGTTTGTTTTATGATCAGATGTCGTTTGTTGACTTCTTCATCAGTCAAATTCCGGATGCAAATTTAATATGTTTATATGAAGGGTTGACCTCTTTAACATAACTCTTTAATACTGGAATTGAAACACATCCAAATCTTTAGGAATTCGACATGATATTATAAAGAAAATTTCAAATTATCCATCTAATTTAAAAACTTCTTAAGGTTAAGATGGAAGGGGAATTTGGAAACACCCCATACACAACTTTGAAGAGATCCACATGTGCAACCTGCATCTAGAGAACGCTTAATCGGCCTCACGAATAATTTTTATTTATCACTAGTTAACTATGAATACAAGCTATGAATCAAAATTTATAGACACTGGGTTGCAAGGATAAAGCCAAATAATTTGAATTCAAATCTAATATTATTTGAAATCAACTCTAATCATGACAAAGCATTCATAGTTGAACTTAATATTTACCCAAAGATGATAATTAACCATAATAAAATAATGCAATAAGAAGCAATTCAGCCATGAATGATTATTGGGGCAAAAATAAAAGAAAACATGCTTGGCTTAGCTTTGTTGTGGCCCTAGTGTGACTCATTGTAATTAGCCTAAGGCGAATTGAGCTTCTGAGGCCAATTGATTTGATGTGTTCTTTATTAACTTTTTTGAGGTGTAAAGAACTATCATTTAGAGAGTAAATGTCTTATATTTATTCAAGTTATCATGTGCCAGCTTTTGCAATTCATGTTTGGTCAACCGTGTGCGTCTAATGGAGCACTACTATTATTTCTAACGAAGGATGTGCACTTAGCCTTTTCTCTAATTATCACTTCACTTTAATTGATACTGTCAACATCCGAGTATTTAGGTGGAATTTGAATGTTGTAATCGACAAAAGGAACAATTATATTAGAAATCTCCCATCCAAAAGAATCAAAATGTAAATCTCGAGGTTCAAACACTCCCTGTTTAGTTTTATATCTTGAACGTTGAAAATAGAACTATTTCAACTCAAGTGGTTGAATAACAGCTAGAAGATGTGTATCCTTATCTTAGGAGCTTGTGGAGTGGTCTTAAGTTCATGTTCTTCATTAAGTTGCATCACTATATACGAGATGACTTTGTGTGTAGTCCCATGATCCCTACCCATACAAATTAATGGTAAATAGCGTATCATAAGGTAAAGGATCTCGTTGTATCATAATGTATAGTACAACACACACTATTTTAAAAGATTATGAATAAAAAATACAATTAATTATGAAAGACTATTAAATTGAAGGATGAATCTTTATGATAATAAAAACAATAGTGATGGTGAAGACCATCACTGAACATCTTTATTGCTTAAAATTCAAATTATTATCATTCTTTTTTTGCAAGTCTACTATTTTTTTTTTAAGAAATTTAACTAGTCGTATTGAGAAGCATCATGATAATCTTTGTGATGATGATGCTTCTTTGCTATAAAGTTGCAATTGAAATTTATTAAATTATAAAATTTCATGATAACAATTCACACATAATAGATGAAGTCGATCGATATAAGAGAGGAAGCCGAGCATGAAGCAAGGCTTGCGAGACGTGATAAGGTTTAATTGAAACTAAATACTTATACTAAATAGTTTAAACATTAATTTGTAAACCTAAAGGGCCTAAATTGAAATAATGATATTGGGTTTATGGACGATGCACTATTGCCCATGACGGTACTATTAATGCGTGCTTTTTAACTGTTGAGAATTGTATATAGCTTATGGTTCTATTGAGTAATAAGGAATATAGAAAAATCTAGGGACTTATATGCAAGAATGTATAAGCTCTATAAAAAACCCTATCATTAATCAATAAACAAGTTTTATAAAGCATTTATTTCATTTTGGTATCAAAGCTAAACCTTAGCCGTCTCTGACAGGCATACACGTAGAGAGACTTCAAGCTCGCATCTGTCGTAGGGGATCACAACGAACAAAGACTTGAAGCTCTTGAGATTGTAGCGTGCAGATTCACGTTGCATCGCAAAACAGCCATTGTTGGAGCTAGCGGGGCTCAACATAGGATTACACGCGATACAATCACAATTAGAGGCGCTGAGAAGGCCGCGGAGGATTGTAACTTCCAGCTTGTTGTTGGAGCTAGCAGGGACGCAACATGGGATTTTACACGATACAATCGCGATTAGAGCCACTGAGAAGGTCTTAGAGGATACGTAATAATAGCTTACAAACACAATGGATCAAATTTACGTGTGATTTGTGTGATCTAGATTTGAATCCTTGTGATTGAGGTTGAGGTAAAGGATTGGATCTTCTAGGGAAGATAGATCGTGAGACTTTGAAGCTATTGGTCGGGCTTACACAGGTAGCTAGCGTCTTGATGAGAGCCACCACCTTAGCACATACTCCAACGCAGGTTCGTGTTGTCCTTTGCTGTCCCGCTAGCACATACTCCAACGCAGGTTCGTGTTGTCCTTACACAGGTTGACCTTTGCTGTCCCGCTAGCTTTTGTCGTGTTGTATCACAATCTTAGGTTCGTGACTGTATTGTGATCTTAGGCCGTGAAGGCAAGTCAGGTTTTGCTTCCCTGCTAGCCTTAATCACGACCATTCCACGCTTTGGTCGTGGAAGGCGTCGACTGTACACTGTGCTATTGTCAGCTACTTTAAAACGTGGCTGTTTTGACAAGCGAAGGAGACGCAATCTCTTTGACTTCTGATACAAATCGTGATAAAGAAGGATTAATGCTCTGATATTAATTTAATATGAAATTCTACATAACTTAGGGCAAAGCATATTGTTTTACTTTAATAGCATCAACAACATAACTGGAATACATAAAGATAAACACCTACAATTCGAGAGGTAGGCGATCTCTCCTAAATCCTAAAATTCGAGAGTTAGGAGATCTCTCCCAAACCCAAACCCAAATCCTAAAACTCTAGATAGTAATCTCATACCTAACTCCAACTCTAAACATATTAACCTACAATCTTCCCAACAATAATAATAATAATAATAAAAGACTAAATTGCTCTTCGGTTAACAAAAGATAAAATTGTTCTTAGACACCGGCCCTAGAGTTTCACCTCTCAAAAGGCTTTGATAAATTTTCAATTATGCAACACAGTATTCTACTCAAATTCAAGTAATTTTTGTTCTATGGACTCATCTCACCACATCAAATTATCATGACTATAAATTCATTGAAAAATGGAATTCTACCTTGAAACTGATTCCTGAAGTTCCTAACGTAAATATATGATGTTATTTCTGATCTCTAGAACTTGTATCAAAACTCAAGCTCAGTCATATCAACCAAGTTAATGATTTTTTATTTTCAGACAATCACTAACCCTAACAAAAATACATTGTTTACAGATACCAATATTTGCCGCATACAAATCCTTCGGCATAATAAAAGGATTCCTATCATTTGGCTCCAAGGTACGATGAAACCCTAAGCAGTTCATGCGTAACATGACATGTAAAACAAATGGGTTGTATGTGCAGGGTGGTGCTGAGGATGAGAAAGCTCGGAAGAAGAGGGAAAAGATGGAGAAGAAGGCCGCCAGAGGGAAGATTATTAAGACCAGGAATAGGTGACTGCTACTGTGATGACATGTAAGTTTTAATTACTTCTTCTTACTGGATATATTAAGCTTACCATTTTTATGAACTATTGAATTGGTCCTCATTATTACTATTGTCTTCCCATGGCCAATAATTTTTACTGTGTTGGAGTGGGTGATATCTAAGAAGTGAATTTGCTTACCTTTGTGGGGGATGTTGCAGTAGTGAATGAAATTTTAAATGCTTTTATTATAAATGTGGAATTAGAAGTTATTGCATTGGCTTACTTCGTTCTTCTTGGTCCTACAAGCCTAGAATCGTTTCACACACACAAAGGGAAAAAACAAGGGGGCATTTACATGCATACCACACAATTCTTATGTATTTACATATCTAACATCTAAATTTCAATTTTTACATATATATATATATATATGTATATATATATATAATATCAAAATTGAAATTTAGCTATGCATGAAAATATGTGTTTCTCTTTTTTAAAAGTTAAAAAAGTGGTATTTGTAAAAAATAAAATTTACTGGTAGATATATAAATAGATGGCAATTGGTTGGTATGCAAGTAAATTCCCGGTTAATTTAGTCAGGTACCATGTCATATAATTGCTATTTTTTTTTTTAATCGAATCCCATAGGGAAATTTTATTTCATCAAGAAAATAAGTACAAAGATAATGTGATCAATATTTCAACTAACCCCCTACAACTCACGCAATAAAAGAAAATCCTATGAACCGTTGATCACTACATATAACTCACACAAAAAAATTAAAAAACACTATCACGTCGAATAATGAGAATAGATAAATGATGTGGAATCTTGATGGAAAAAATGAAGTCTTGTTTCTCTAATCCTCTTTTTGCAGTCTATTTGTACGTTGGTTTCCTTCACGATGAGTAAATAACCAGTTTATCTGCAGTCTTAAGAAAAGCAAAAAAAAAAATTTCATTTGAATAATAAGAATTCAAGAATAAGATTTTTTTCTTGGTACAATAATTCCATAATTCCCAAGAGTACATTTCAATTTCAATGTCATATAATTGCTCTAAAATATAATAAACTCTTAACTATTTATGCTTATCTATGAATAAAAATAATGTATGATAATATGAGTAAAATGTCTATACCCTCCACTATTTACATTTGGTAGTGCATTCTTTGAGCTTATAAAAGTGTCAAATTAATCCCAATTTTTTTAAATTGGGATTTGGAATAGTCCTCGTGAAGGATTATTAGAACTCAATTTTAAAATAATTGAAATTGAAATAATCTCCAACATTCTCGGCATCATCAGCTCCTTGCATAATATAATCAAAAGCTAAAGACTTTAATATTCATGCACTACACATTATTTGATTTTGAGCAATTATAATTTATTGAGGTTTTAGCACGCGACTTTATTGAGCTATCAATAATATGATTTGTTTTGTCATAATATTAAAATTATTAAATCCTGCCGTAAATGAATATTCCATCCACCTCCAAATCACATTATCTGTTTGTTTTCTGATTAATTCCACCGTGCACGGTGATACTCCATTGAAAGTGAAATTTCAATTAGCTAAAACTTTACATAAATACCACCCACATCTAAAACCTTAATTTTTAAAAATGTCACCTTAAGCTTCCCTCTAGTACCCTGTACCTCTTCCTGTACTGAAGATTATCAGTCCATGCGTTGCAGACTCAGCCCCACTCCATCTCCATCTTCACCGTCTCCATCTCCATCTCCGGCAGCACTGCCATCGCCGTCGGTGAGCCTGCTACCTCCTATACTCACCACCACTGCCATCTTATCATCCGTAGCTCTAACACTCCTCATCATCAACTACCTCTTTCCCAAACTCATCTGTCCTGCCTCTACCGATGAACCGTCTCTGCCTCCGCCTCCTCTGCCACCGGCGAGCATATTCGTCGATGCCGGAAAGAAGACTGCTAGCTCTCCTCCCGTTCTACACTCGGTAAAGGGAAAAAAACTTGGGAGGTTGAGCAATGGCGAGTGTTCTGTTTGGCACTCGACGTCGGAAGAAGGGAGAAGGTGCGTGTCCCGCTCGGCGAGGAGTGGATTTGCATTTGCCTCAGTTGTTTGCTCTGCGGTTTTCCGGTGGTGACGCCGTCGCTGGCATCTGCCGTGATGTCGCAAGCTGGCTGTCGCTCGTTAGGATTCATTCGCCATATGAAGTCGCCAAAATGGAACGGAATGCTTTTGTAAATACATAGAAATTAGTATTTACATACTAAACATTATTTTTTTATATTTATGCCCCAAAAAAAATTCGGGCAGGTTAGTTCTCTAACCCAACGCTTTCCTCAAATCTCATATATGTGCAAAATGTTATACATGGAGAAGTTGAAGTTTAGGTTTAAAAATGGAATTACAAATAAATTAACCAGCACATTTGTAAATCTTCCAAAAAAACAAAGAACAACTTACCATTACTTTGACATTGTGTGATATCTACTTATCGAACAAACTTTTAATTAAATAAAAAAAATTATTGGCAATCATGAATAATAAATTTTAAGTTTAAAAGTATATGACATGAACATGTCAACTATAGTGGCGACGGTGGTTGGCATCTAGATTTTATAGGTATGTAGTGTCACTCGAAGAAGTTCGATTCAATTATAATCACACAAAATTGAGGATATTTGATCACTACTAAGAATAATTATTTGTGAATTCACACTAATATGTCTATACATTTATTGACAATGGAGTGAGCATCTTAAGAGCTAATATTAAAAATCTATAGCTCAACAGTTCGGTGCCACCAGAGTTTATATATACATTTTAAAATTTCTATCATTAATAATTAATTTTAAAATAATATTTTAATTTTTATTTACACTCTAAAATAAATAGTAAAACAATTTCTTAAAAGTTTAAATAAATTTTATATATGTTGCATCAAAGAATTCTTAAATTTTAGCGTTATGAAAATTTATTGATTTAAGATTTATGAGATTTACCACGCACCTGCATACCTAACACCCAAATTTATTTATTTATTTTTATTTATACCCCTCAAACCTTTCACATTTTTTAAGATAGAACTACAAAATTAATTCAGCCCTAACTTACAGAGTTAACCATAAACTCTCAGACTAAGTGAAACTCATACAAATATTCATGATTATTTTAGCAATTCACATAAATTATGCAACATCCTGAGTTATGATTTCAAACATTTCATTATACGTGACAGTTCTTCTCAATAAGAACACTGAAAATGGACATGGCGACAAAACAAATTACAATGATGTGTGTGTTACGGCCTAATTTTTAAACAAAAGAATTCATTTCTTTCATTAATTTCCCTCTTCTGTAACGTCTAGCAGAAGAACGAATGCTACAATGTTATTTCATCGTACAAATAAAATATTATAAATTGTTTTATAATATTATGGACAGGCGGCAAATAAAGAAAAAAAAAAATGGATGGCAGACTAATAATAAATACAGCCCAGAAGAACTATAAGCCAACTCTTCCTGTAGACAAAAATCTCAAACACCACCCAAAACAACTTATTTTTTTTTTTTTTTTGCTTATATACCCTCTTCCTTCTTTTTTTAACCTTTAAAAATCAATTTTCTATGAATTTATGTTACAGTATGGAATACGCTCGAATCACTTCAATAATCGGTGCACGGCAAAGAGGACATTTACCTCCATTTCGAACCAGCTCATTGGCGCATTTGGAACAGGTGCACATGTGCCCGCATCTGCTAACAGCCAGAAATCAGGAATGCATATGTATCAGAAATTCATCGCCCATTTAACTTTGAGAGTGCCTTTAAATAAAGGAAGATTTACATACATACCACTCGATATGTGAGTATCAATGTAAAAAAGAAAAGTTTAGGTGTTGAATATGTAAATACATAGGGCTAGGTGGTATGTATGTAAATGCCCCCATTAAAGGAATAAAGAAAAATTTACATGTCAAACACTTTAGTTTCATAAATTTAGGTATGAAAAAGTGTATTTCAGTTCCAAAATGTAATTAATAGTGATAATTTGGATATCATACTAAAGATTTGAGTGCTATGCATGTAAATATGAAAGTTTGGGTTACAAACGTAAATATATAAAAATTATGTAGTATGCATGCAAATAACCCATAAATAAAAAAGGTTCACCTTCTCAGAGAGAAATAAATCGTCATGAGCGCTGATAATACACAACATGTCAAAATTATGATTTTGAGGGTTAAATTATTGTATGTCTTTTCTATTTTAATCATTTATCTAATAACTATTAATTGTCTGCTAAATATTAGAAGACTTTTCTCCTCCTCTTGCATGCCAAGTATAATAAAGAAGCAAGAATCAAAGAAATAGGGAAGATCAGGAAAACCTGTACAAAAGCGAGTCAATGTGAACATCGCAACAAATACAGCACGTCCCATTCTTCACGTTAGTCCATTTGGATCCATCTGCCGCCCAATCTTCGCACAAACCTGATAAAAATAAGTCATACTCTCAACTTAGTTATCCACTATTACTTAATGCATGATGCACGAATCTCAAAACACAGCTGGCCCAATAATAGCCTTGTAAATTGTGTCATTTAGCTTTTCATCATATCCTATTATCAAACAATACACATGAAACACTTAAGATCTAAAATAGCTCAGATCGAAATTTAATTCGGTTTGATTTGAAAAAGCATCATGTATAATAATTAAATTTGATATAGCATAGTCGAGCAAATATTTGTCTATTTGGTTGTTATTTTGCAGCTCATGTAAAAAGGTCCATTTCCTACACAAAGCTTATATTCCTTAACAATTTGAGTTTGCTAAAAATAGATTTCAGAGGCCTTCAAATTGAATGATTTTCATTTGAGCCGACCCAAAATTCAAGTGATTTCAAGACGAGATAGCTGGATTCAAAATTAAATTGATTTTTAAGTTCGAATTTGATTAAGTTCATGTACAGGTAGAGAAAAACTTGCTCAAACTCTAATGCCTATTAGCCTTATCTTTAAGCTGCACTCATTCTTCTGTATAATACATTGAACACGCTTACATCAATTACAATTAAGGTCGAAATAGAAGATAAAGATCCCAAGTATAAAACATACAGTAGTCCACTTGGATACATCAGCCGAACCAACATGATGAAACAAGTCATATCTCAACCAAAATATTTACGGTATAAGAAACTTTAATTCGCATAAAAACAATTCTACTATGAAATATAGAGGACAGAGAGCTAACTGCATAAAATCCACTAACTCCAAAAGTATTACTAAAGTATATCATTATTATTATCATTATCAGGCTTATCCTCACTATTTCAAATCCTCGTTATTAATCCACAATTTTCATTTAATTTTGCTTATTGTTCCATTGAAAGTGTCCCAACCACGTGGATCTTTAAGTAATACCTATTATATAATAAACTCATTAATATATATGCATTATTTAATTTATTCTTCTTGAATTTACTAAAAGTTATTTTACCATTCGCATTTCCTACACCCAACTTGGTTATCAACTAACACTTAGAGCATGATGCTCAGATCTCACAACATGGTTGCGGCCATAATATTAGCTTTATAAATTGTCATCTAGCTCCCCATTGAACAAGACACATTAAACATTTCCAAATTTTAACAACCAAATCTTAACACTTTATCCTCATTCAGGAGTCGTACAAATATCTAATACTCAAAATTAGATCGATTACATGTTAAATCAAATTCAAATCAAACTTACAAGTCAAGTTTCGGTCTAAAATCGCTCAATCAAAATTCAATATTCTTTGAGTTGAAATCGTCATATATGATAATTCGATTTGACATAACCAAGATAGAAGTAAATATTTGTCCAATTGGTTGTTTTGTAGTTCATGTAAAAGCTGAAATTTCAATTCATCACCAAAGCTTATATTTTGTTAAATATTTTGAGTTTACCAAAAATTCGAGTGATTTAACAATTGGATTCAAAATCAAAATGATTTCACATTAAGTTCGAACAAATTGAAACTTGATAAATGCAAGAAAAAGTTGAGCAGAACTTGTATGGACACTATTTGTTACTAGCCTTTTCTTTTACCAGCATTCTATTTTTTTCACAAAACAAATTGAATATGCTTAAACCAATTAAACTTAACAGTCTTCATCTTCTTTGAGCTACATATCCTAAACATTATGAGAGACTGCTCTAAGAGAGCACTAACTTAGATAAATACCTTGATAAGCTACCTTGATAAGCTGCCCAAAATTAAGAAAAAGGCCATCCTCCAAAATTCAATAGCGTGCCCCCTACTGCATGCCTTAATTTGGCAATTGTTCATCTTCTGGTGGTTTTTGTGTCCAATTGGTTTCTGCTACTAGTTGCTGCCATCTTCTCATCTTCTCAATGATTAATCGGACTTATTCAACATTTGGCTTTATTCATCATGAACTTCCATGCATGTACAAAGTTGTGATGCAGGGTAAAAAAGAAAATTCTAAAGATGCAAAACCTAAAATTTCACACTTTATCAAACCACAATTTTGTTTAGTTTTGAACGAGTTATATTGATTATTTGACAATCCTTTTGAACCATCCATAACAACCGTTAGTGAATCTCCTACTTTCCTAATTGTTCTATACGAATTTTATGTTTGTCATTGAACATGTCCTAACCACATGGATCATTGATTAATGCCTACTATATAATAACTCGCTAATATAATAAGTATTCTTTACTTTATTCCTTCTTGTTTTTACTATACAATCATCTTATTTCCTCCACACAACTTAGTTATAAACTACCACTTACAGCATGATGCTTAGATATCACAAAATGGTTGGCCATAATAAAGCTTTACAGATTGTCATCTAGCTCTCCATTATATCCCATCATTGAACAATACACAGCAAAGAATTCTAAATTTTAACAGCCAAAACATAAAGATTATACTAGAGGTTATATCCTTATTCGGGAGTGATCCAAATATCCAAAACCCAAAATTATATTGATTTTTAACTCGAATCAAAATCAACTCATTGAGCCATGTTTTGGTCAAAAATCACTTGCTCAAAATTCAATTCTGTTTGATTTGAAATCATTGTATATAATAATTAGATATGATATAACATAGATAATTATTTTGTAGCTCATGTAAAAGGTGATCATTCAATTCCACACCGAAGCTTATATTTTTAAAATTTGAGTTTACGGAAAAATATATTTGAGTCATGCAGAAATCTGAGTCATGCAGAAATCGAGTAACATTTGAATCAACCCAAAATTTGAGGGATTTGAAGATGAGACAGCTGGATACAAAATTAACAGAAGTACAAGTTAAGTTCAAACCGATCTAAACCTGAAAATGCAAGTAAAAGTCAAGTAAAACTTGCTCATAATCTATTGATTATTAGCCATTAGCCATATCTTTTTACCAACATTCTCATTCATTGACATAACGAAATGAATATGCTAAACCACTTACATTTCTTCATCTTCATTGAGCTATAAATCCTAAACTTGAATTAATGGCAACGAAAACTTTGAATACTAGAAGTTGAGAGAAAAAACAAGTTGCAAGATCAGTAGAGGAATATGTCCACTTGGATCCAACAAGTTGGATAGCAAAGAAAACATTGTATAATACTAGCTACAAATCCGACAAATCCTATCAAAGGCCCGTGGCCACACTTTCCCCCTTCCCCCCTAAATCCACAGAAGGTAATTTATTGCATTGCCTCAAATCTTTCAAAAATTTATATTGGCTGAAAATATCATAATTTATTGATGTCATACTATGTCTAAATTAAGTTTCAAACAATATATATATATATAGACATGCGCACGCGCAGGCACGCAAATTATTTTCAAATTGGCCAAGTTTAAAATCAGTTTTCAAACCCTCCAAAATTCAAATTCTTTTAAATCTTTTAAATATTATATATATAATACATGAATAAATATATTCTGATTAATTAATTCATTATATATATATAGACACACACACATACATGTGTGCATTATCAAAGTATATATATTATAGATGTTGATTTTATGTTTATTAAATTCCAAAATAATTTTCATGATTCATTAAATTCTACTTTGATATGTTGCCATTTTACAAGGTGAACCATATATAATTTAAACGCATGAGAATTGAGTAGTATGTGGGTAAATCTTTCATACTCTATTTACATAAATAAGATTACAAGGTTAGTTTAAATAGAGTATGCTAACTTTGGTGGCAGAAGAATTGCTTCATAAATTCTAATTGATATGGATGTAGCTCTGGTGGCGCATCATACATTTTTCTCATTATATTATCTTATATTAATATCATATTAATACGATATTAGTTACAAAACTTCAACCTTTTACTTCTTGTAAGTAACCAAAGTCAAGTTTGACTTATGTTGACTGATAAATATATTCATGCTCGTTTGTAAAATTCAAAAATCATTATCGAGGAACTGTACAAAATGATCATATTATTTAGGAAGATATACAGACATACCACTTTTTTCTATAACGCATGTCATCCTCCAAATTATTATTATTGCAAGCTTTTAATTGGATATTCGCCTAATATTCAAGGATACATAACTTGTTATCTATATCTAGACTTTGTTTCTACATATCTAACACCTAAGCTTCAATTTTTACAAACATACCACCTCATGTATGAAAAGATGCATCTCAATTTCAAGTTAAAAAAGTAGTTTGTGATAAGAAAGACTTGAATGGTTTAAATGTAGACAACAAAATTTAGGTGCTAGATATGTAACAACATAAGAATTTGGTGGAATGTATGTAAATCAATCTAATTGAATTGAATTGAAAAAGCTTGCCATTGCAAATTCTGAAACAAAATAGCCTCAAAATTTCTCAAATTCTACTATCAAACAACCACTAAACCTTGCTGAAATCACTCTCCAAATAGGTTGAAATCCTATTCTAAACCAGCTCCAAACTTACACATAAACAGTCCCAAACTCAATTGAAACTTGTCACATTTCAGCACCTAAACAGCCCCCAAGCAAGCCTTCAAAACCTGCAAACTTTGCTAAAAGTTCGTGTGATTTCAACTCTCAAGCAATAGCTGAAGCTCACATAATATTTGTTTGAGTTTGACACAACCATCACTTAAACTTTTCTGAAAATCTGCTTGTATTTACTGAAATCGTTTAGATTTATAAACATATCATTTAATTCTTATAGATTCAAATTAACACTCAAATACACAAGCTTACAAATCTACCGTGTAGCATTTATGTGCCTACATACCTAACACTTAAATTTGCATGTGTTAAACTTCTCATCTTAATTTTTTGACATTGAATGCACTTTTGTTGGTCCTATATTAAATTGAATTCTCATACAAATTTCTTTGTACGTCTTTGCGAGGAAAATCCAGTTGTGGTTGAAGCATTAGGCGATCGCAAAAGCTACCCAGAAACGGATATTTGAAATTTAAAATTTATAAGATTTAAATTCAAATAATCATTAATCGACAAAACAACAAATACTTAATAAGTTTGAAATTCATAAAGGTAATTAAAAGAACATTTGCAACTATCTCAAAATTGTAAACATATCATTTTCTCTATCAAAAATATTCAAAAATTCAACCTAGTTCAAACCACATAGTGAGACAAAATGTAACATGATAAATAACTTTCAAATCAAAACAAAGATGATTTAGGTCAAAACAACAAACTTACAACTATACCTTTGTGAACAAAAACTTCAAAAAAATGCGAATAATTAAGATATTTACCCATGAATCAGACGAACAGAGAAGAACTAAAAATCCAAAAATAACATTTACTATAAAAACTAATATCAAATGAAATCTTTATCAATAAAAATATAAGCAAAGAGGAAGCCAATAAAGAAATAACAATGACATAATAACAAATTCCATATGATATCAAAGTATTCAATTCAGCAAATATATAAACCAGTTCATACGAATTTTAAGTGAAATTTAGAACAACTGGAAAATTATGGAAGATGTTTGAAATTTAATTTCGAACATCTCTTAGAAAATCTCAAGGATTCTATAGATTGGTTAAATCTAACTAAAATAATTTCTTTTAACAAAATCTTAAGGAAAATTGAATTTAATTACTCCAAAAATAAAAACTATAAAAATAAAATCTGCTGAGAAGTCATGGGCAACAAAAATTTTTAACTTCTTAAAATCCGAAAGATACTAAAAATTTAAAGTGAACTCTTAATGAACCAACGTTACCAAACGCAACTTTAACCCCCCTACCCAGGTCTACGAAAATTGGTTGGATAATGCAACTCATGGTTGCTGACAAGATTCTTCTGGTCGGAGTAGGTTTGACTATCTCTCTGAGCTAAGTAGATCATGAACCAAGAAACTCCGCAACAACATAAAGCCATGGGCATTTTGAAAGGGTTGTCTTAAATAAAAAACAAACTAACTTCATCACACTTCACTTTAAACCTCTAGACATCATAGGAGTAGATAGATTGTAATTGTTGATTGCTCGTTAGACATTGGTTAAAACCAGTAGACTGTCTTTTTATAGGTTGTTATAGTTCACATAGGTTTATTCTCTTACGAGTCATCGTTTTTCTTATATAGAATTAAGAGGTGTTGTGGTCAATCAACTATCAACATCTGTAATATTTGAAAGAAGATGAAATATGAAGTGAATGATGAACCTTAACTAAACTATCAACGATATTTCAAATGAAGTTGATTAACAAGTCAGACATAAAAGTTTTGATTGACTATCCTCTCCAGACAAGGTTGTAAGTTTATTCTGCATTGTTTTGTGTGTGCCTTCTTTATTTAGACTATGTTTCGATGTTTCACTTCTTTCGGTAGAAATCGTCTTCGTTTTAGGATTTTGAGAATAATCGCCTAGCACGTCGTTAATCTTGACCTTCTTAGGCTTTCTCACAATCTTATATTGTGAGATATAAGTCCTAAATTTCTAACTAAAATGTGAGGATTGAAACATTAAATAACTTCCCTTTCAAAAGTATAAAGTCAAACCATAAGATAGTTGAGATGTCACTGAGATTTCCCAGGTATCTTTTGCATCTCCTACTTTTCATTATTTAGGGTTCCAAAAATAATTGTTCTGCATTAAGTCTTTCTCAACTGATTTTCATATAATCAATCGTGGAAACTAAACTTTATAATTTATTGACATAGCCTCAAACTTAATCCAGAATTTTTTTAAGTGATTTCCCACGTTTAAGATGTAAATAACTATAGGGACTTGCACCTATATGAGATTAATAACCTAGACAATCTAAATCTTATTTAATATTCAGATTAGATATAAGAAAGATCTATTAGTATTTTCGCAAACCAAGCAAATATCTAAAATTTTTTTGTTTGAATAATTGAACTCATTATTAAGAGAGATTATCATTTTTCGAGATGACATATTACTCATTAAAATCAAAACCCTTTTAAACAAAAATAAAACCAACAACACATTATAGATATGTTATCATGTGATTCAAACTTGTGACATATAGGTTTACATTAAAGAAATCTAAGCATTGCCCATCAAGAAATTCATCTTGGAAGAAGGGAAGGTGGATGAACCCAGCAGTGGAATTGTCACTCTAAGTTCACCCAATGGTTCTTTGCATGCTTATTAATTTCATGCAGACAAATATAACTAGTTTAACTACACATATCATCGTCCAATTGAATCATCGATCCATAAACATGAGCAAATCTATGACTACTTTCTAATCGAAGTGACAGTCAAAAGGAATTCTACCTTAAGTTTATGATTAATGTCATAATCAAAATCTTGCTCATAACATGACAATCTCATCCCACATAATATATATATATATATATATATATATATATTATTGTGTGATTTGAACTTATGACAGGTTAGCAATGGATAATAATTCTAACAATTGCTCTCAAATCCCATCAATCATCTAGGAAAAAATTATTAATAGAAACATTTTGTTGACATGTTAAAGTTGAAACGAACTGCATGATCAATTTAAAAAAAAATAATAATTAAGTAAAAATAATGAAGGCCTAATCACAAGTTCACAACACTCTAATTGGAAGTTGAGAGAAGGAAATAAAATCAGGTGAATAGAAAAAAAACATTTAAAAAGAAAAGGGGGGAAAAAAAAAACTACTCTTAAAGTAGATGAAATTTGAAATAAATAGAAGTAAGAATAATTTTTAATCAATTTGACATATACACATAATGGGCCAAAATTTATATGTACCTAATTTAGCCACATATTTCTGATATAGTCCCTGAACTTATACTAAATTAAACCAATATGGTTCCTTAAAGACTAAATTGGTATCAATTTTATATAATTGATGGACTAAACTGGAATTAATTTTGTATCAAAATTTCTACATAAGAGATCATTTTGAATCAATTTTCGATAATCAAAAGACTAAATTAGAGAAATATAATATTATGGAACTTAATTAGCCACAAGTGAATAATAGATAGACTATTTTGAAATTTAATTTATAAAGAATCATCAGAAAAAAGATAGAGGTTAGAATTCAGAGGGATTAAACATTTGATCCTCTGTTAAAAAAAAAAAGAACAGTTTATACTTGTGTGAGTTTTTTTTAAAACTAATTCCTCAATCTAAAAGAAAGTTTTTCATCAGTTTCTATTTCTTTTCTTTCATTTCAAACTCCTAAAAAAAATAAGTGTTCGCTTTCTTTCAGATTCCTTGTTTCTCACTCTAAATTCAAACGCCCAATCTAAGTATAAGAGACTACATGACTGACCTTCTCCCCCTTGAGAGCGATTTAAAGCTGCAGAAACCTCCTGTCTAACTGAACGCTGTAGCTCCAACTGCATATCCATGCAAGCCTCAAGCATTCTCTGCATATTACTCATTCCTTGCTGAAGTCTTACCAATTCAGCTCTTATATCATTGATGGCATCCCATTCCTGCGATAAAAAAAAATACCCTATTACTTGGCGCAGATAATGAGACCAATTGAAAAATGTCTACTTTGAAAAAAATAATAATAATAAATCACATTTTTAAAGAAACCAGCAGAAAACTACAATGGGTCATGCAGATGCATAGCTAAAGCACAAGCACATAAGCTTTTACAACCAAATATGTTAGAAAAATGCAAACAAAATGATGGTAAAAGAAGTTTTATTTATTTTTTTATCTAAGTTTGCAGGTTCAAATATTCATAAGAGTTTGAATGGGTGAATGTAATTGTGTTGAATTCAGGTTTGATGAAGCTTATAGTGTGAACAAAACGCACAATATCAGTTCGATGCATGTTCCGTCTATTCCAGCTGTTACGATAGAGTACAGAATGCCAAAGCGGCTGTCGTGGTGGCACAGGTGGAGATGGTATGACAACAGGAGGCCTAACAGCATTATCCTCTCGGTCATCTCTACGATCATCTCTCTGCTGGTCCATATCTTCCCTTTGTTGATCCATGTCTTCCGGAGATTCAGGAGTTGAAGTTCGATGTAAATCCCAGTCAAGTGGAGCACGACCTTGTCGTTGGACATATGACCGTATCAACCGGTCCAAACTCTCCCGAAACCCGCTATGGAGAAGATTTGAAACGCTTCTCCTACACAATAAGCCAAATAACTTCACTGCACTGTAGGTTTTATTAACAATATACATGTATGGAATAATTATAATTTCATCATACATGTAAGAATATATACCTGCTTAAGAGTTCTCTAAGTTCCATACTGTAAACATTTTCATCATCAGATTGAATAAATCTATTAACTCTACTAATGGGAATATCAAATTGATTTCTTGAAGGATGAGAAGGTTCATCTAGCCAGTTCTCCACAGTCACCTGTGAATCATTATCATGCCAATCATCTGACTCTGGGATATGACCATCTGCAGCATCTTCAGGTGCTCTGTTAAACCAGTCCTGGTCTGTATTTTCATGCCAGTTACTATCAGATTCTTCTTCGGCCTCATCATGCCACTCGCTCAAGTCGCCTTCTGTAGACTGCTGCCATTCCCTTCTACCATGCTCTAAAGATTCTTCAGGCCAAATTTCAGCTTGATTAGCAGATTCTTGCCACTCCATGTCATCAACAGGTCTATTGCTTTCTAACTGAGGTATATCTGACACTTGGTTTTCACTGGTCTCAGTCTCAGTTCTAGATTCAGATTGATTATGGTCATAATTTGATGGCTCCCCTGCATTGGTTGAATGTAATTGATCGCTCCTGGAATCACTAATACTAGGACTAGAAATAGTGTCAACTTGACGATTACGCTGGCCAACATCAATGCCCTGTGACCTGAAGTGAAATCCACCCCTAGATTAACAGTTTAGAGATACCTATTTAGTTACAAGAAATACTAACAAGGAACTAATAACAAAGCAAGCATGATCACACTTTATACCCATAAAAGAAAAATAAAATGAGACAAAAACTAAAGCATTAAATCAGCCATTTCTTAAAAAGGCAAAAGAAAATAACAACAGCAACAATAGTATTAGAGATGAAATTGAAAGAAAGTACACCTTAATTGACATGTGACAACAAAACCAAAACCATGTAACAGTTTTTAGGAGCAAAATGCGCCACTGAAAATTAAAATGATCAATTACACCTTAATTGCAAACTAACAATGTGTTAAGAAAAACTCGATTTAATAAAAAAAAAACTCTATCTAGGTATTCACATATACAATATTGGATGTGAAAAAAATAATGCTAGAAAAAGTCATTGATGTTTATAGACCTTCAGCATCAGAGCCTGACGCACAACTCATGAACCAGTAGCATAAATGTGATAGCAACCCTTCTGAGATATCCTTCCTCCTTACCATCTATAGCTGCTTCCACGCCTCCAATTTTCATTTTCCATGTGATTTCTGCTGTTGGCTTCTGTTTCAGGCACAGAATTGTGGCTTTTCTTTGTGTGCCTCATCCTGACACATAATATGAGGCTTTCCATTTATTCATAAATTAACGGATTTCAACTGAGTTACGGCTGCTTTCAATGCAAAACTTACGGCTTTTGTTATATTTGTCACCTTGTCCTTCAACTTATTCCATGCTTCAGAATTTTCTACAGCTAACAACACAAATTGCAGGGGAAATTCACTTAGGGGCTGTTTGGTTTGACAATTTGTGGTGTAAAGTAAACCAAGTGTAATGTAACATTTGGTCAGATGAAAATGGAATGCAATGTAAATTTTACTAACTAATAAAATCTAAATGTATTTTTAGTATAAAAAGGAGCCATAGGCTTAAAGAAAATCCAATCATTTATTTTGTGTTATTCCTAATAATTATGGGATTTAAGCAAGAAACCAAAACATCTCTAGAAGAGATGAACTATTCCTTTTGGTGTCTTCCTTTTTCTACTTTTATTAATTAATTTAATTTTGATCATTGAATTTATAGTAGTAATTTGGGTTTCAACAAGTGCATTAAATTCAATTAGTTCTGCGATCTTTGTTTCTAGTAAAAGACCAATGAATTATTATCCAAATTAATTCTCTTTGTATTTTCAATTTTCCACCAAATTAATAAACTATAGTTAAAATTACAGATCTATTTGGGACAGCTGCAGCTTCTCAACTTTTCAACTACAGCTTGCTGCCCCAAGAAGCTATTGCGTAGAAGTTGCAGTGGGGAAGTTGACTGTCTATTTGTTGCACTGTGTGAAAACAACTGTAAGGCTGTTATTGCTGGAAAAATAATCATTTTATCTCTATTCGGTAAAGCTGTTTAAAACAAAACTGTTACAACCACATATTTGATACTTCAAAAGCAAAAATTTATTTCAAAACTGAACAAAAATTTAGAAACACAACTCACATAACAGTGAGTATTGAAAGTGCTAAACAAAAATAAAACTAATAAAATTACAAGTAAAATAATGATGATAATATTTATAACATGAAAACGATGTATGTCTCATTTTAAATTGTCCTCCAATAATGCTATCAATTCGTGATCACTTTCGACAGTGTACGATTCTTATCATCATATTAGGTTCGAGGTCAGAAATTAAAAACAAATGTTTGTATTAATTGGCAATATTGTATATAATATACAAGCATCACTTACAATTTATAAGAGAAATATTATCTTCTTAAAAAACAATAATATAATAAGCAATTTATAGAAATCAACATAAATCCTTCATAAAAAGATACGTCAACAATAACAAGATGAAAACCAATCTTTGGGCGGTTAAAAAAATCATAATGGGATCTTTTTTCAAAATAATCATGTACATGAACTAAATTTGTAATTTCATATTTATTATATATTCGATTTCAATAAGGTGATTTGGATAGAGTAGCAAACCATTCAACATGATGCATGAGGCCATAAAGAACTTATTGAGGAGGCAAACATGGTGGGGCGCCCGGAATCTACAAAAAATTAGGGTTGAGTCGTATAGATAGTTTCTATGACATTTCTATGAAGGAAAGCATTAGAGACGTCGAGTTGGAGTATGAACCGTTTGTTAGTGAGAGCAATTGTAATAAGAACACGAATGACGTGCTTTGGCGATTAGAATGAAGGTTTCCTTGTAATTACTTATAATCCAACCCAAGATATTGCTTGAAGCCTTGTGCTACATGTATGAAGATTAGATTCATTCTAATTAACTTTAATAAAAGCCTTGCCCTCAAGGTTGCGGTTGGGAAAGGATTTACGAAAATCTGAAAGAGAAACCTGAATTGGCAATCACTCCCATCGTATTGGCAATTGTTGTTCGCAATTGATTCCTTTATGTTGTTCGTGAGACTGTAAACTGACAACCGGTTGAACTAGCAGCCGTTGGTAATGTTGTTGAATAAAATGTGTATTTAAACAGTATGATCTTAATAGCAAAACAAGGAAAACCAGATGAATTTTTAATGTGGTGGAAGATAGAGGTGTATTTTTTCCTCAAAAGCTTACCTTCGCCCATGGTTAATGGCACTAAAAGCTTTCCCCTGTAGATAACTGCCCACATTTGATTAGAACTAGTGGATATGCCTTATTACAAAGGATGGCAGCGAACAGGCTAACCTTGGTCGATGGTTTATGGCAGGTTGTCTCTGTACTCCGCGAACCCCCTCCTAGAATTCCCTGCAACCTCAAATTGGGACTGTATCTCAAGGATTCGATCACGAAGGTGATGTGGACTTGGGCGAAAATGGGAGAGCGGAAGTGATGTAAGCGAGGTTCTGGAATTCGACGACGTCGGAGGCGTAGTGCGGCGAGAGGCGAGCAAGCGTACCTTTTGATCTTCTTGGACGACAATGAGCTACGAAGAAGAAAGATGAAAGGGGACACAATAGGGTAAAAAGGGGACACAATAAGGTAAAAAGCCGATCGACGAAACTAGGTCACAAGTAAGGAAGAGCTTTCCGCGTTTTGGGTAAACCACGGGACGCCGCGGCGGCAACGTCGCCCCAAACGGGGTAAAATAGCAGCACATTGCTGCATCGCAGGCCCCCCACCGCCCCAAATGCACCCTAAGAATTTATGCCTTAACATGTATTTTTAAAATTTATTTTATATCTCATAATAAATATGCATTAGAAATTCTAAATCATGAAAAGTCATACATGTGATTCTGAATCAGAGACTAAGGTTAGATCAAAATGTCTTATAAATGCAGGATATATTGTTTGAGTAGGTGAAGATAATTAATGTATTTAAATGAAATGAATTTAACATTGATCCTACATAATTTCGATGTAACTAGTATGAGATTAAGAATTATCTTACCAAATTTGATATTTTGTGTAATTCTAAGGAAGTTTTTGATTTGATAGAAAGCTCAGAGTTTTTTTTTCAAAATGTCGTCTAATTCCCAAAAAATCTAATTAATTAAAACCAAATTATATTAGGATTTCTTCAATGCTTTTTGCTTACATGCACCAACCATAATTTATATGGGCTGATATAAAATATAAAATGAAAAAAAAACGTCATTGACTATAAGAATCATTAAGAACTTTAGATATGGTGATAATAATGTTTTTTAGTATTTTTAAATTTTAAAGATCAAGTAGCAAAACATTTATGTATACATTACAATATTATTATTTGATGTTTTATTAGAAGTCTTTAAACTAGAGAAAAAAATAGAAACTAAGCTAAAATTCACCAATAATAATAAACGATGTATCATGCAGAGCTTTAGAATTTCAAAAAAAATATATTATCCTCTTGTTATATCGTTGATTAATATTTCTAAAAAATAATTAGCATTTCATAATAATTCTATCAAAAACTCATCAACACAAATATCATGTATGGACAAGTTTGATTTTATTAAAGAAATTGTGATTCATGAATATTTGAGAAAGAAAATTAGATGCAAAAAAAGAATTACAATTACAAGAGGATTCCCCGAATGATTTATTAAATTCTGAATCTGCATAAGAGTCTCAACTGGAACATGAATAAAGAATTGGGCAAAAGATAATATCTGAATTTGAAATTGAATTTAAATATATTTATTTCTTCACTGAAATCCTCCTAAAAATCTGAATATATCCCAATTTTTAAAAAACAACAATTTGTTCATGCTGAAATTGATAAAACATTTTAACAATCCAACCAAAATTATGTGTGCATCTGTGACGTTGATAATATTTCTCCTGTTTTTATTTTCGTTCTTGATTTACAAATCATTAAAATAATCATATTGAGAAATTCAAATTAGGTGTAAATATCAAAGTACTTTCCGATGATAGTTACCATAAAAAAAACAAAATACATAATTTAGGGGATTATCCACCCTATTAAATAGTCAATCAAAAGTGAATTATTTATCATATAAATATTAACACCATTGGAAAATTTTTACCAGAGACAATTATCGGTCAATTAAACAAACACATCAAGCTAGTTCATTGTTAGTTATGAAATTTAATAAAACCCAAAAAATATTTTTTTTTCCCCATATTTCCCTTCTCTAAAAATTAGTAATGTTGTGTTAATTAGGAAACATACAAGCAGTTTAGAATTTTATCATATCGAATTATTGATCAATCATATGCATGAATTGCATGGAAATATTCATAGAAAATTTGATGAAAAGTATGATAGGTACGATTCTATTACTAATGTGAAATGGAGATAAATAAAATTCAAATCATTGGAGAAGATGCTAATTCATCTAAATCATAAAAGTGACTTGTCGTATCAAACTAGTTTACAATATAGCTACCTTAATTTTATATCATAAATCATCAACCGTTATCTTGAATTCTTCTTGCTTTTTATTCTTTGAATTTCACATTTAACACATCATCTAAAGATTGCTCCAATTATCATACTAACCAGTTCTTAAAGCTATTTTGGGAGACAAAACCATGCCAATTATTGATGGTGGCTATCAAGATACCTTAAAAATTAGAAATATGTATCTATGGGTAATGATTATGAGTTCTCAACAAGAAATATGACAGTTATACCCATGTATACTTAACAAAAACCACATAAATAATTTGCCAAAGCCGTTTTTTTTTTTAAATTGAGAGATTAATGCATGCCATTCTCCACGAACAGGTCAATGTCAGAACCCTCGAATCTCCATTTTCCATGGCATCCTTGTAGTTGACTTCTGAAATCATACTAGCTTTTGCTATGATAATGTTGCATGCAGCTTTCAACAAAAAATTCCAGGTATCCTAAATTTGCATGATGTGAAAATTCCAGTTGATCTGTAATTATCAGCTTTCTTGCAGATAAATGCAGGACTTCCAGTCATTTGAGTGAAATTGTGATCTAACCTTCAACGACTAAATCCATGCTATCAAAATTTTCTCATGGTTGACCAATGTGAATTCGAGAGGTAATTTATTTGATATATAAATAGAAATCCCATGAGATTTTTATTATAAATAAGGGTGCCCCTTAAGCTTGCAGAAAATTCAATCAATTATTTTGAGTAAAGCTCTAATTAGATGCATTATTCTTTCTGCTTTCAAGAGTTAAATCCTGACCAAGTTGGACTTGAAGATTCTTCAAAAGAGGTTATCTACTTGTTGCAAGTGTGATGTTTAATTTTTGAAATTTTGATGATTTCTTCCCTTCATTTATTAATCACTCTAATTTTTGTTATTGGATTGATTGTGTCATTGAATTTATTAAAGTTTGATACAATTTGAGTTTCAATTAGGGCCATTGATTTCATCTCATTGCTTTCTTTCAAAATTTCTAAGCAGTGTTTCTAATAGAAGGCTATTTAATTGACATCCAAATTGATTCACTTCATACTTCAATATTCAACAAAACAAAAGAATATTAGTTAAAATTAAGAGTTTGTGATAGCTACAAAATTTTAATTTTGTTGCTGAGTTCTTTGCATCTCGCAATAGATCTGCATTAAAGATTCAAACCCTAAGACATCCTACTACATCAAAGGACTTGCAGTTTGAAAAACAATAACCACAAGTTCTAATACAATTTTCTGAAAGCCTTCCCTCAAGCAACTAATAGAAGTTTATTCTCCTTCTTATCAAACTATTTATTATAGTTGCAAGCAGTCGTGTCAGCAACAGGTAAGTCCTTAAAACCACAACTTTCATACCTCAGCTACTTGATCAAGCAATTTACCAAATTATCTATACCAAGGGAATAAATATTAGTTAAAATGAAGAAAGAGGATTTTTCTCATTACCGCTCGAGGTATCACAAATGAATTAATTACATATAAAAGCCAAAAAAAATCTGATGCCATTGATGCCTAGCCGAATTGAATACATGACATATTAAAAGACTCCTAGATTAATGCAAAAAAATTATGTTTCAAGTCAAACTGTACCTTAAGCCAGAGACTGGATGCCCTTGTCTTAGTTGGCCTAACTCTCTTGCTGCAACAGAGATTGATCTCCCATCCTCGGTGCTTCCATTTCTTAAGAATCTTCCTCTGAGTAATGACTGAAGATCATTCTCATTAGATTGGCAAGCAAGTACAGCTAATACCCTTTTCAGATCCGTTCATGAGAATGAACGTTGCTGTTCATCTCAAAAAATATTTTTTAAAGAATTTAGACATTTAAAAGATGTGAATTAAAAGAAATGGAACCTTCTAGGAATTGTTAGTTTCATGATCTTCAAATTTCACAAAAAAACAAATATTATGCACGACAAAAGCAACCTGGTATCAGTACAAAACAAAGAATCAAAAATAGAAAGATCATGAAACCTTAATAAGTTTTAAAGAGGCAAGGAAACATAAAGACAATTTCAACAAACCAAGTTACCTTTGCATCCGTGCGCATAAAGGCATTCATTTCAACATTCCATATTACATACCATTTAATTTCATGTTTTTACATATCAAATGCCTAAACTTCACTTTTACATATACATATGCCACCTTAGCTATGAAAGAAAAGGTGTATTTCACGTTCTAAAAGTTAAGATATAGGTATTTTAAAAGATTTGAGTGGTATAATTATATAAATGTAAAAAGGTAAAGCTAGGGTGTTAGATATGTAAATACATAGGAATTGAGTGCTCTTTGTATAAATGTCCCAATAAAATATAGTGTTCTAACTAGTTATTCTTTAGACCATAACTGTGATGACCGGACTGTACAGGTGTCAAGTCTTAGCACAGAAACATCAACTAAAAAATGTATAACAATAAAGAAGCTATGTGAAAAAAACAGCATTGATTGGTCAAACTAGTTAACTGAAGGAATTGAATTTTGATCAGCAAAGATAAAATTAGAAACGAAATAAGAAATCTGGGAACAATGGACAATAAGAAACATGAAAAAAATATGTTGCCAAGTGAAATATACAGATTAAAACATCATCATAACCACTAAAAAATCATCGCACTCATTACACATCAATAACACCGGATTTGTAAAGAATTTGAGTTTTCATCTTCATTATTCCTCAAAACTCAAAAAAAATATCCTAAAGCAAATCATACCAAATGATTTTATAGTATATATGCACATTTAATGTAAGAGATTTGACAATGGTTTCTCACATGGAAACAAGAGGATTGAAAAAGATCTCTTAATTTCTTTAGTGCTAAATACCCACTAAGAATCTCAAACATGTTACGATTAATAGTATTCTAAATCTTAATTAACAACATATTGAATGTATTTTGTTGAAAAATGCTCCAATAAGGTTTCCAATTCACCCAATGTAAGATTGAATTGTTGTCCATAAAAGCCTATACAGAGGAATGAACTTTTGTGTTGTGATGATAAAAATAGGATTCATTGTCATCTTTGCGGCCTTAGACTTCTCCAAGATAATATGCTTATTTCTCTTGATAACTTGAGGAACATGAGTGTTAAAAAATTGTAAATTAAAATTATTTGTGTACAAAGAAATCATATGACCATTCAGAAGGTAACACGTGGCCTTCTCAAACAAGTTAAATGCAGCAAAATACAACTAATAAGATGGAAATGTGCTTATATGGAAATGAAACATGCATAAAAGAATGGTTATGCAAGTAGAACTATTAAAAACTGATCAACTGTAGATGAAATTTTGTCTAAGATCATGAAGGTAAATTCCTTGCAGAGAAAGTCTGTATGATGTAATTGTAGGGAAGAGAGGATAAATTATGATCAAAATAGAAAAAATTAAGTGACAACTGAGAATGGTACAAACACCGAAAAAGATTTGCTCAAAATGACCCGAGCAAAATTAATAATGAGAGAGAAAATACGTTGATTTTGCATTGCAATGGATGCCTTGAATGCGCCATGAATCCATCTCAAATCAATATCAGTGATAATTTCTCCTTTCTAAAATTCACTCTAAACTTGGCATTCTTTTTCCCCAACAAAATCCTACTTTTGCATACCAAAAACTATAATTATTGACCTATCCCTCAATTAACAGATCTCATGGTATTTATGAGAGATTAATTTTCGAATGGTTCAATGCCTATGGTGCGGCAAGCTAGAATAAGGCCAAGCTCAATGGTAAACAATAAAGACCAAGATACTGAATAAGTATTAGTAGAGGAAGTAGGAGAATTATAGATTGTAAGAGAAAGAAAATGAACCTTCCCAATTAATAGTTGATGCTCAGTTTATCAAAAGAGCCACACCAACGGTTTAGTTTCAAGGTAACATTTATTGACGTATAAATGTGAAAGAAACATAAAAATGTATTAGGCCTGAATACAAAGGCCTTTCGGCCAATGTAAAATATAGGGCAATAATTGAAATCATTGCAAACTACAATTCAGGTATGTGTCGAACAAAATAACGTAAAATTGTTTATATTCTAATAGCAAACAATAACGGTAAATTTTGATATTTACCAATTCATCTGCCAACAGCTCCACTAATACATTCCAGTTCAAAATAATAAAAGAAATACTGAAATCGGAAGCCATAAAAAGCGACTCACTGACCTGAATCCTACTTCGGTGAGCAAAACCTGAAACAGCTCTCGCCTCCGATAATCCTTGAAGCTCCCGCTGCCTCTCCCTGGCCATCCTCGTGATTACGTCAAGGCGAGCCTGCCTTCCCCGTATCCTTAGGAAGGCCCTCCTCACATGCTCCGCCTGCCCATTATGATGATCTATCGCAAAACCATCACGATTATGATTCGGATCAGGCCCCTCCCTCCTGCTTGCCCGAGCATCTCTTTGTTGGCTGGACATCTGGACCCACTCCCTCACCAACCTCACCCTTTCCCTTTCATTCTCACCTAGCCATTCTGATCTCGGGCTCTCATTCCTTGGGGATATGTCCGGAGCCGATGACTCCCTCATCCTTTCCTCAGCCATCCAACCCCGAACTATCTGCCTCACCCTCTCCCTCTCACCATCTCCGAGATCCGGAGACTGCTCCCTGCTAGAGCTTCTATCAGCATCATCATCGATATTATCATCTCCGTTACTCGGTCCCAGTGATCCCCGATCCCACTGTCTATAGCCGTTATCATTGCTCTCAGTGGCCCCTCTTCTTTCCGACCTAATCCTATCTCCAACAGCACCACTCCTCCTCTCCCTCGCACCAGACATATCCTCCAGCTCCCGCCACATCTGCAGTATCGCCGAAGCCCTCGCAGCAACCGGCTGCTCCACAATCGACGGCGATCGCCGGGACTCCCTAAGAAAAGACGAATCCAAGGTAGAAACCGTGTGTAATCCGGCAAGCGCCATAAGCTCCGACTCTCGGTTCCGTCGCTCGATATTAGTAATCATTTCCTCTGCGTGACGTGCAACCCATCTGCTCAAGATCCGTGAGTGCCGTCGCGCAGCAGCAGACGATTCAGCGATGTCATCACCCTCTAGGGCGGAACGCCGCCGCCGTCGAGCGACCAAGTCAGGCGCATCATCTTCAACCAGATCATCATCTTCCAAATCGGCACCTCCGCGTGTCGAACTGCAGCTGCTAACGCATCCATCCAAGCTACCGCGGACAACGAAATCGAAGTCGGCGCCCTCTCTCTTGTGCCTTAAATCGGGCATTTCTTCCGTTTCTTCACAGGATCGGTAAGATCTTTCGAACCCCTAACCCTACATCATCCCAAATTTCTCTCTCGCCGCCGGCGAACCAACAATCAGAGAATCGAGTGACGCAGATCCAACAGAACTGTAGAGCAGAAGAACAACCATATTTTCTTCAGATTTGGTGCGCTTCTTTTTGTATTTTATGGAGAAAGCGAGGCGTAGGGATGCAGGAATTAGCGCCGAATGGTGGCTTAATGGCGGATAGAAGAGTAGTGAGAGGAGTTGGTAATTTCACGCCGAATTTCTGGTATTTTGAGTCCGGCCAATTACACAATATCGTCGAGATGTGGGTGAGGGGGTATGGGTTGGAGAATTGGGAGTGAGAATATTGAGAATATGGGGAATTGGAATTGACCCGTCCTTCCGTCCACGTCAAATTCATCGGATTCTGCCACGTGGAATTGTCTCTTTGGGCATCCGATAAGCGTTACGGATTGGAATGAAATCCAACGGCGGTTTATCACGAGGTTATGGTGGGCTAACGTGGACGGTCGTGATTGATGAAAGCTACACGTGGTTACCGTCGAAATCAATAGGGCCGGCTATTTCACGGGAAAATGCTTATATGGTTTACGAAGGAACTCTGCCGCTCTAATTATAAAGTAGAAATTTTAGGGTCATATATATATACATATTTATTAAAAGAATGGTGAGATGTTATTATGAGCCTTTATTATCCTTAATATGTCGAATAATTTGAGAACCACCTCCTATTATGAGATATACGAGTTGTTATGATATATAAAGAAATAAAATAGAAGGACCTTTGCCGTTCTAATTATAAAGATAAAATTTTAGGGCCATATATATATATATATATTAAAAGAAGGAATGGTGAGATGTTATTATACGAGCCTTCAATTATTCCTAACGTATCGAACAATTTGAGAACCACCTCCTACTATGAGATATATCAGTTGTTATGGTATATATAGAAATAAAATAGAAGAACGATATTTGACGAAGCGAAAAATAGAACGACAAAAATTCACACCATAAAACAGCAATACAGTGGAACACACAAATTTACGTGGTTCGGCAAATCACCTACGTCCACGAAGTTGCAGAGGATTTTACTACTTGAGGAATTTACATCTGTCAATCGTCTCGACTTACAAGAGGAAGCTCTCACTTCGTTGCTCTCTCTTTTTCTATCTCTATTCTTCTCTCTCTACACCGAGATACACGAAGAAACTCTACACCGAGATTCACCAAAGAAGACAAACTTACAAGAGAAATAAACTCAATTTCTCTTTTGCCACAAACCACAAAGAAGAAGTCAAGGGAGAACAATCCTCTTCTTCTTCTTTCTTATTTCTTCTGCCGCAAGGAACTACTGCTTGCATTTCTCTTCTTCTATCCCGAGAAAGCCCGAACAATAACAAAAAAAGTGTCGTGCTATAAACTGAAGGAGAGCCTTGCGATACCTTTTATCATGAATAGGAGGAGAGGAAGGGAGACGTCGCAACTATTCGCGATAGAGGAGTGGTTCGCGAACAGCAGGGTCGTGACCTTTTCGCGAACGGGAGCGGGAGCAGGAGTCTTCGCGTGTGCGTGGGAGCAGTTTCGCGATGTTCTCGATCGGGAGGCGGGAAGGCGAAAGTGAGAAATTAGGCTCCAGCTAACTCTCGCTTGGAGACCGATACACAAGCTACAACTTCTCCTTCCTCAAACTAATACCATCCATTGGAGGCGTCGACTTTATCTTCGAACATGAATCATCCACCTCTGCCACTCAAAGCATTTGTCTTCACTTCAGAAGACCAACTGAAGTTGTGCAAAACTTAGTTTCTCAAGGGTAACACCCTTAGTCAACACATCAGTAGGGTCCAAATAGTCTTACACCTCCAAACTATTTCCTGGTTTACTCTTGTTTCTGCTTACAACTCTCATTGCATGGACAATATTCTGTCTCTAATGAAAACCTTTTTCAACAAGTTTAGTCTTGTACCTCTTACTGTCATCACGCTGAGACTTCACCCGGTACACCCACTTGTTGTGTAATGTTTTCTTCCCTGGTGGAAGTTTTGTCAGCTCTCACTTGCTCGAACTTTTATCTTACAAGATTTCTTCATAGCTCTGTGGCTCTCCACCATCTGTCTGTGGAACAATAGGAACGGGTGCCCTGGACCCACTCTCCTCTTCACTTCCATCATCATTAAAACCATGAACTGCTAACAATAGTGCATCATATACTTCTTCAGATACCACATTTGCATTATCATTCTTTATATTCTTAGGATTCCCACAGCTCCTCGTTATGTGGCCAGCTTTGCCACAATTCCAGCAGGTTGTCTGCTGACCAGACTTTGATTTTGGTCTCCCTTTATTTAAGTTCATGTCCTGCCATCTCCCTCTAAAATCAACATTCAGTGTCAAACTCAAACTTGAGATCTCACCAGAATCTTTCATGTGCACCTCCTCAGCCAAAATCAAATCACGAATATCATCATATTTCAATTTAGATTTACGAGCATAACTGTTAATTGTCATTCTCATGGCTTCTCAACTATTTGGCAACTTTGCCAACAATATCAGTGCACGTATCTCATCATCAAAATTAATTTCGACAAACGACAATTGATTTGTGGTGGTATTGAAATCATTTAGGTGTTGAGTAACAGAAATATCTCCCGTCATCTTTAAATTGAACAACTTCTTCATCAAGTACAACTTGTTATTTTCTGATAGTTTTTCATACATACCTAATAAGGCTGACATGAGATCTGCAGTCTTCCTCTCCTTGACAACGTTGTGTGCAACGGACCTCAATAGGGTCAATCGAATAACCCCCACAACTTGTCAAACTAACAATTTCCATTCAGCCTCATCCATCCTTTCAGATCTTTTCCCCAATAACGGAAGATGAAGTTTCTTCCCATAGCGGTAATTCTCTATCTGCAACTTCCAAAACCAAAATCAGTGTCATCAAATTTCTCAATCCTTGAAACTTTCACGTCATATGCAGTCACCATTCTTCCTCTGATCCGAACAAAGCTATGATACCAGTTGTTGTGAGATAAACCAGTTGTTGTGGTATATATAGAAATAAAATAGAAGAATAATTTTTTACGACGCGAATAATAGAACGAGAAAAATTCACACCAGCAAACAGTAACACAGCGGAACACACAAATTTATATAGTGCGTACACGAAGTTGCAGAGGATTTTACTACTTGGGGAATTTACACAAGTCGATCATCTCGACTTACAAGACAAGAGAAATCTATCACTTCGTTGCTCTCCCTTCTTCTCTCTTTCTTATTCTCTCCTGCATCGAGATACATCGAAGAAACTCTACATCAAGATACACCGAAGAAGACAAACTTACAAGAGAAATATATCCAATTATTCTTCTATCACAAACCACCAAGAAGAAGTCAAGGGAGAACAATTTTTTTTCTTCTTCTTTCTTCTTTCTTCTTTCTTTTGTCGCAAGGTACTACTGCTTGCACTTCTCTTCCTCTATCCCGAGGAAGCCCGAAGAAGAACACAAAAAAACGGTCGTGCTATAAATTGAAGGAGAGCTGCGCAATACCTTTTATCACGAACAGGAGGGGAGGAAGGGAGACGTCGCGACTATTCACGACAGAGGAGCGGTTCGCGAACAGCAGGGTTGCGACCTTTCGCGAACGGAAGCGGGAGCTTGCGCGACAGAGCGGGAGCAGGAGTTTTCTTGTGTGCACGGGGGAGGTTTCGCGATGTTCGCGATCTGGAGGCGGGAAGGCGAGAGCGGGAAATCGGGTTCCAGCTAACACATCCTTAAGACCAAGTATGTATAAGGGTATTCGAACCACCGACCTAAGATATCAGCCTCATATATATATATATATATATATATATATTTGTAGAAGAAATTTGTATTCTTTGTATTGAGCCAACCTCTAATATATGGTTTTTAAATGTTAAATTTGCAACACTCTATAGAGATTGATGTTACTATCTTTTTTCAAGAACTTTGTAGACCCCATGTGCTTTCATTGGCCTCTCGTTAGTTTTGTGGATTAAGCAATTAAGTTATATTAAACTTGTTCTTTCACTGTTTTGAGTGGACGTGTGGTAAATCTTGCCCCACCGAACACCTGAACAACAGGAAGTTTCTGGAGAGTCATGTCGTTAATTGTGTGGATTCGTATTAATTTTTTCTCTGCATAATGTCGGCCTAAAAGTCCAAGTATGCACATATTTGTGATTATCATTCCCTAGTGATATCATCATTGTGGATTTTAATATTTATTGAATTCAAACAATAGCAAAATGATTTTGTTTGATTTCTCAATGACTGCCTTTCATGGACTAGGCATATAATAGGCATAAAAAATTGCTTAATAAATAAACAGATGCTTGACCGTTTAAGGTCATATAATTGTCATGTCCAATTTGTAATTGGCTTATAGATTCTTTTGGGAGCATAGTTTTTGCCTTGGTTGTTAAACAGTTACAAGAATTCCTATCAACTTATATATTTCTTTATCACATGTTCATCATTGGCTAACAAATGTCTAATATTGGGTTAATTGTGTGCAATATTTTTATTAGTGCTATCAATATGAATATCATATCTATATTTTCTTCTCTAAAGCTCATGCACTTCCGCTTTGATATTCAATAGGGTCGTATTGCTAAATATGAGTTCAAGTTAGTTCTCGAGTTTGAAGGGCATTATAATTCATCAAATTTATTGTGATTGAAACTTAGGGTCTGTTAGGGGCAGCTTAAAACTCCGTTTGGCGTTTTGAAAACGTCAGTCCGACTTTTGATTCACCCGTTCGCTCGACGTATTTGGAAACTTTTTTTTTACGTTTATATTAGACGCTGGCCGCAGGATCGACCCCGCGGCCTGCGTCTTCACATCTGCATTCAAGGTCAATTCCTTTCGTGCCCCTCTCTTTCGCTCGACTGCATTTGAGGATCGACGCTGGCTAGGGCACCACATCTCTCCTCTCCCTTACCTCCTCCTCCCAATCTCCCTCTCTTCTTGCTCTCCCGGTTTCGCCAAAGACATCACCTTCATGACCAAACCCATGCAGATACATTCGCTATGTAAGCAAGCGAGAAGGCAATGGTGGGATCACAAATACAAAGACCCAAAACTCCATTCCTCCTCCTGTTCGCTCTTACCTGCAATCACTTAGGAATGTAACCTTGATTTCAGATTATTAAATTCGTACAGTTGTTTTCTATTTTACCGTAAATAAAATAGTTATTTAGCTTGATTTAGATTATGCCTTAGTTAGTTATTTATTTTAGTGCAAATAATGATCGTGATTCCTCTGATTGGTTTA